TTCCGCTGCTGTACTTCCTGCCGGGCGCCTCGGGCGCGCGACGACTTCTTCCTGCCGTGCGCTCGGGGCGCGCGGCGGTTTTCTGCACGCCGTGCGCCCCGAGGCGCGCGGCGGTTTCCCACCGTCGAAGCGCCCTCCCCCCGTCGCCGTCGACCCCCCGCGTCGCCCCGCAGCCCCGCGCGTCGCCCCCGACGTCTCGTCGCGACACCTTGGGGAGCCGCGCGCGGCCCCCCGCTACCTCGTCGCGACGCCGTGGGGAGCTGCGCGCGGCCCCCGCTGCCTCGTCGCGACGCCTTAGGGAGCCGCGCGCGGCCCCCCGCTGCCCCGTCGAGGCGCCCTGGGGAGCCGCGCGCGGCCCCCCGCTGCCCAGAGGTGGCGCCCTGGGGGTCGCGCGCCTTCCCCCTCGCCGTCCCCCGCGCTCCTTCTCCCTTTCGCCCGTTTTAGGGTTTGGGGGTGGGGAGTGTGGGGGTGGCGGCTGTGGGGGTGGCGGCTGTGGGGGTGTCGGTTGTGCGTTACTCTACCTACTCCTCCTCCTCCCTAGTCTCCCTCTACTGCAGCTGCCGCTGAGGGGGGTGGTGTGTGGGAGTCTAGGGTTTGGGGTTTAAGGGGGGGTACCGTGGGAGTGGAGCTAGGGGTGAAGCAAGGGGTGTGTGTCGAGGGGTGTGGGACTGTTGGGGGAGGTTGAGCGGAGACTGCCGTCGTGTCGTCCGCAGCACCTGTATTCCGGGGTTCCGCGGACCTCCGGTAGCTCAGAGAGCCGGCTGCACCTGTCGCCCGTGGGTCCGCTGCACCCTCCGCAGCGACTATTACCCCTGTAGTCCGGGGCTCTGCTTCCGGTAGCCACTAGCGTTGCGCCAGAGCCGTCTGATGCCCGTGTGTCTGCAGCTTCAGTCGTCGCCTCCACTCCTTTCTCCTCTCGCCAGCCCTCCTCCTCCTCATTTGTCCTCTGTGACCGCCTCTAGCTTTGCTCATAACTTATAAACTGTTGCTTCTTGAACTTGTGCTCAGAATGTGTGGTGACATCGTGATCCACCCTGAGCTTGTACTGCTTTCCTTGCTCTGCTGATTACACCCCACTTTGGCTATGGGGGTGTGTCAGAATATTATGCTCTAGCCTGTAGTGGGGTGCTCTGTAGCGAGTACAACCCTTCTAGGGTTTGCTATTTGTATCCCCATTCTTGCTAGTTCACTCCTCTCTTTTGCCTATTATCTCAACACTCACATCAGACATGGCTTGCTATGTGTTGAGCTGCGGACCAGATGGGGTTTGTGTGCACAGCACCGATGGGATCCGCTCTTGCAAATGGGGTAAGCATGGTAACTTTTATATTTCTGCGCCTCCAACCCTTCCACTAGCCCGCATTTGCTGCAGTCAACTAAAACTATGTGTTCGATTTGCCATCTCTCTGCTTGCTGTGCTGCTCAGAGTCACTGTGCGGCACATGCCCCTCTGGAGCCACATGCAACACCATCCATACAACTATATTTCGGTCGACTCATGCTCATTTCACCAACTCTCTGCTGTACCATGTGTCTCCCCTGCTTGCTGTGTTGCTCAGAGTCACCCTACGGCACATGCCCCTATGGAGCCACGTGCAAGACCGTCTATACAAGTTGTCATGAAAAGGCGGGCGTGCCATCCTGCGATTGCCCTCCCAACTATGGCATGACCGCAACATAATGCATTGAGAGTAAGATTCAACAATGCCCCGCCTGCTTTGTACCCTTTGCACCCTTTGTACCCTTCGTACCTGTCTTACCCTTCGTACCTGTCTTACCCTTCGTACTCTTCGTACCCTTTTTACCTGTCTTACCCTCCGTACTCTTTGTACCCTTCGTACCCGTCTTACCCTTCGTACTCTTTGTACCCTTCATACCTGTCTTACCCTTCGTACCCTTATACCCTTCGATCGCCGCATTCGCCTGGCTCTGGGTTTGATGAGGGCTGACGAGGTGGCAGATAAGGAAGCTGAGAGCTTCAAGATGTCTCACAATCTCGAGATGTCTCAACACTTGAGGGCTGTCGGGGTGATTAAGTAGCTGCCATGCTGCAAATTCATATTTTTTCTGCCATTATGCAAACTTAAATATTTATAAACTTGGAATGTAACAGTAACTCTAACATGCAACAGTCAACTTGGGCGCGTGTCAACTCGTTCCCTCTCCCATCCTTGCTCCACATTTCCCCTGCTGCTTGTGCCATCCATCCATTCTTAGACTCACCTGACCAAGTGGTTGCCAGCAGCTGGACACTCATCCAGGATCGTAATGCCAGAGGCAGGGCATCCAAGCCCTACACCTTCCGCTTGAAATGGGAATGCAATCGGTTCCCGGAGGAGTTTGCTGGGAACTTTAGGACTATGCACGCGGTGGATTACGTCGGTACTGTTACGGGTTGTAACACAGTCTGTTATTACAATAAATTATGACTGCAACGGCGACGGGTTCCTCGCATGACATTCGGCCCTGCGACCTGTTCGACAACCGATTGCCTAAGTCTGCATTTCTGCCATACACAGATCATTCTCTTCTTTACTTTGTGTTTCACTGTACCATGTCAATCAATGGGATATCATTATACCATGCAACCCATCTATCTCACTAATTGTTCTGCATGTATTTACTCCCTCTTCATCAACCAGGATCACTTTCCCTGAGCCACATTCAAACCGTTCTATCCGATGCAGAAAGGAATAGAGTTGATCATTAATTTCTCGTGATTTTTAACGGCATGTAATTTAAACTTTGAGCCCTTCCTAATAATTCTTTAGGTCTATGATATGAGCATGCTTGTCTACGTGTCTGTATGGAAAAATGTGCTTACCGTAATTTTGTTTCTTAATTATAAGCGCATGCATAGCATTTTTAGTTGTTTTACAAGTGCGTGTTATTATATCGGTATTATATGGTATTTCACTTCAGCAAACTTTGTGCAGCCAATTTTAGTTTCTATTCGCATGCACTCAATCAGCATGTGCAAAGTGACTCATAGATGGTGTTCAGTGCACCCTTTACTTGGAGTGCGGTTGTTGCGGGGCGTGGGAGGAGGGGGGGGGGGGGGGGGGGGGGGGGGGGGGGGGGGGGGGGGGGGGCTAGCTTACCATTTTCAAATACGTACAGCTTGGCTATCACAATTGTTAGAGTTAGAATCTTGGATAGATAGGTCTGCCTTAGAGAGAATTGGTAGTGGAAGTCTTTGTGGTAGGAACCTTGTACATTGTGAATGTAAATGACAAGATTAATTCAAAGATAAAATTACACATAATAAATAGATCTAACTAGCCATATACTCTAAGGGGTACATTCCCTTATTATAACTGTTTTATATGACTCTGACTGTTGCTCTTCTCTTGTCATCGAGTCACTAGGTGTAAGTCAGTTGCCATTCTCCGCTGGTGAGTCATTTGGTCCAGATGGTAAACAGTCCCGACGGTTTACCTTTGCGACTATTGACCTTCCTGCCCTTGTACGCGCTGATCCGGTACTGCTACTTGCTTTGATAGTGACGGATACGATATAATTGCACCTACAGAATTCTTAAGTCAATTCCCTTCTTTCTCCAACACTCCCCTTCATTCCTTGAGGTACGCCATGTGGCTCTTTCGGACGACTGCGCACAGGTCCGCGCAGTACTTGAACTTCTGACGTGGCAGTTTCTTCGTCAGGAAATCGGCTGCCATTTTGCTAGTTGGACAGTAGGTAAGTTGGACTTTGCCCTTGTCGATTTCGTCCTTGACGAAGAAGTAACGGAGGGTGATGTGTTTCGTGCGGTTGACGAAGCCAGGTTTGTTTGCAATCTTGATCGCGCTCTGGTTGTTGCACAGTAACTTCAATTACCCGTTCATCGCCGTCTTCATCTCCTATAGGAGCTCCGTAAGGTAGAGTCCTTCGCTGTCTGCTGCACTTGCTGCGATGAATTCGCCTTCTTCTGACGAAAGGGCGATGAGCTCCTGTTTTTGCAAGTTGTAGGAGATGGTTCCCGCACGTTCAAGTTTGAAGATAAAGCCTGTGTGGGATCTCCTGTTCTCTACATCCCCAGCATAGTCAGCATCCACGTAGCCGGTAAGTCGTCGATTAGCTGTTAAGTCCGCTTTGTAGGTGAGGCCGATGTTAGGTGTAGAGACGAAATATTGTAGGGCGCGGGCACGTCGCAGGTCTGCCATGTTTGTCAAACTATAACAATGTTTATATTGTGTAGGCTGTAGTGGGGTAGCCTATAAGGGGTACAACCCATCTAGGGTTTCCCATATTTATATCACCTTGCTTGCTAGTTCATTCCTCCTTGCCTTAGATTCTGACATGCTATCAGAGCAGTAGGTCCGTAGGACCGTTTTTTTTTTTAGGGCCCACCGGTTACTGCGCTACCCCACGCCCTACCCTGCCCTGTACCGCCCACGCGCGCCGCCCCTGCAGTCCCGCGCGTCGCCCCTGCAACCCGCGCGTCGCCCCTGTTCGCAGCCCACACGCCGCCACTGCAGCCCGCGCGCCGCCTTCGCCGCCCGCGCACCGCCTTCGCCGCCCGCGCGCGGCCCATTGCAGCCCCGCGGACCGCGCCAGCAGCCTGCGCGCCGCCCTCGCCGCCCGCGCGCAGCCCCAGCCCGCGCGCTGCTGTTTGCGGCCCCGTGCGCTGTCCCTGCCGCCCGCGCGCTGCTCTCTGCAGCCCCGCGCGAGCCCCTGCATCCCTTGTGCTGCCTCTGCCCTGCCCCGCGCGCAGCCCCTTGTAGCCCGCGCCCTGCCCCAGCAGCCCTCGCGCTGCCTTTGCCCCACCCCGCGCGCAGCCTCTTGCAGCCCGCGCCCTGCCCCAGCAGCCCGCGCGCTGCCTCTGCCCTACCCCGCGCGCCGCCCTTGCAACCTGCGCCCTTCCTCTACAGCCCTCGCGCTGCCTCTGCTATGCCCCATGCGCCGCCATTGCAGCCTTGCGCGCCGCCCTTGCTGCCTGCTTGCAACCTCTACAGCCCTTGCGCTGCCTCTACCCTGCCCTGCTACTGATCAACTGAACTATGGCCGCTCTACGTATTCTCGCATTTGATCGGCCGCCTAGTCAGATTCGAAACCTGGCTCCAGGACCTGCAGCTGTACCTGCTTAGCCACGCTAGGGACGGTGTCTCGCTCTATGACCTAGCGACGGGTACCTCCTCTGCCCCACCATCCTCAGCTGAAGCTACGACTCGCTCGCAGTGTCTGACCCGTGATGCTGCTGCTCGCCTAGCCATTCGCAACCACCTGCAAGTAGCCGAATGCGAGCATTTGGACCAGGCAAAGACTGCTAAGGCCCTCTACAACGCTGTTGTTGCACGTTACTCTTCCCCTGCCATTGCAGCGCTTAGTCGCCTCTTCCTTCCCTACTTTTTCCCCGACCTGTCGTCCTCCGCCACTGTAGACGCCCTCCTCTCCCACCTTCGCGCTATGGACACTCGTTACCGTGCTGCCCTCCCTGCCGAGTTTCTCCCCAAGAACGAGCCCCCGATCTACATCACTCTCCACTTTATAGTGACCCGCCTCCCTGACTCTCTTAGTGCAGTCCGGGACACCCTTCTCGCTCTCCCCCCCACAGACCTCACTATCAACCTGCTAGGGAAGCACCTTCTTGCAGCTGAGGCTAACACAGTCGCTGTAGGTGCTACCCGTGGCACCCCTCGCACGCCCTTCTTTGAGGGGTGCTCCCCCTCCCCCCTTGCCCCCTCTGTTGCCTCTGCCGCTGCTGTCGACTTCCTTGGTGCTGAGGAGGTCGGCGCTGCTTCTGCTCCTAGTGGGAAGCGCCGCAGCGGCAAGGGCAAGGGAGGCAAGGGTGGTGGGGGTGGCGGCGGGGGGGGTGGTGGTGGAGGTGGTGGAGGTGGCGGTGGGAGTTGTGGAGCGAGTGGGGGCGTCGGCGGCGGAGGTGGCGGCGGCGGCGGAGGTGGTGGTGGCAGTGGTCGTGGTGGCAGTGGGAGCAGTGGTGGCGGGAGTGGCAGCGGCGGGAGTGGTGGCAGCGGCGGCTGTGGTGATCGCTCTGGCGCAGTTCAGCGGCAGCAGCAGCAGCGTCCGCGTGAGACCCTCTCGCCCCAGCAGCTTCGTGAGTGGCTTGCTCAGCATGCGGCGTCTAGGGGTAGTGGTAGTGGTCGCTGCTCGTACGTTATTCGCACAGGTCCCCGCGCTGGTCAGACGTGCGGGAAGTTTCACACCCAGCACCGCTGTTTCTCCCGCCTAGACGACGCTTGGCGTCAGGAGATGGGCGACGAGTTTGAGCTGCCCCGCTAGGCAGAGCTGCTTAAGTCTGGTGTTGATATCTTTGCTCTTGACTTTGATGCTATCATTGCTGGAATGTATGCTCTGTCTACTAGTGTTGAGGGTGACTGTTACTTGTGTGCGCCGTATGACCCTGGTATAGAGGCTGCTGCTCTAGGTGCTAGTGAGTCTGCTCTCTCTGGTACTGCACCTGCTGAGACCTCACACACCTTCACGCTTGACTCAGGTGCTTCTCGCTGCTTCTTTCGCGACAGTACCATAGTCACACCACTCACCAGGCCTGTTGCAGTTTCCCTGGCTGACCCCTCTGGGGGCCCAGTTCTTGCACGCTCCTCTACTGTGCTCCCGTGCCCGGCCGTTCCGTCCGGTTCCCTGTCTGGTCTCCACCTCCCCTCGTTCTCGACAAACTTGGTGAGCAACGCAGTCCTCCAGGATGCAGGGGTTGATACCTTTACACCTGGATGGCAGCGTGTGGCGATCTGTACGTGCTCCCGGACTGGCCGTCACCTGGCCACGTTCACTCGTCGGCCGGGGTCGAGTCTGTACACACTGACTACTGCGCCGCCTCAGGTCGCTGCGTCTGCTCAGGTGTCCCCGTCATGTCCAGTAGCAGCCCCCTGTGAGTGTCGCCGCCTGTCGCACCAGACTCTCCTTTGGCACCACCACCTTGGTCACCCCTCCCTGCCACTCGCGCCTTCTGGTCTCTGGTCTTCCCAGGGTTCTGCCTTCCCTCCCACCCTCGCCTGCCCCGCCCTGCATTCCTTGCATCGAGGGGCGGCAGCGCGCCGCTCCTCACTCCTCCTCGTTTCCCCCGACGACAGCTCCTCTCCACACTCTCCACATGGACGTGTGGGGCCTAGCCCGCGTCCGTGGACAGGGCCGCGAGCGATACTTTCTGCTGGTTGTCGACGACTACTCGCGTTACACCACGGTCTTCCCCTTGCGCAGCAAGGGTGAGGTCCCTGCTGTTTTGATCCCTTGGATCCGAGCTGTCCGTCTCCAGCTGCGCGAGCGGTTCCTCGCGGACCTTCCTGTCCTGCGTCTGCACTCGAACAGGGGTGGTGAGTTCTCCTCCGACCTCTTGAGGTCCTTTTGTGAGGAGGAGGGCATTCACCAGTCGTTCACGCTTCCGGCCTCCCCGTAGAAAGATGGGGTTGCGGAGCGCCGCATTGGCTTAGTCATGGAGGTCGCTCGTACCTCCATGATCCATGCGGCTGCTCCCCATTTTCTGTGGCCGTTTGCGGTCCGGTACGCGGCGCATCAGCTCAACCTCTGGCCCCATGTCTCCTTGCCGGAGACCTCGCCCACACTGCGTTGGACGGGGAAGGTTGGCGATGCGTCCGCGTTCAAGGTCTGGGGTTCCTGTTCCTTTGTCTGCGATTCCACCGCGGGCAAGCTCTCCTCTCGCGCCATTCCCTGCGTCTTCCTTGGCTTTCCCACTGACGCGCCTGGCTGGCAGTTTTACCACCCCACCTCGCGCCGGGTTTTCACCTCTCAGGACATCACGTTTGACGAGTCGGTTCCCTTTTACCGACTCTTCCCCTACCGCACTGCCCCTCTCCCCCCCCCGCCGCTCTTCCTCGCTCCAGGTCCTCCTCCGGTAGACTCCCTCCCCCCTCAGGGTCCTGCTCCTTCAGGTGTCTCTCAGGTAGACCCACTTCCCTTCGCCGAGCCTGTCAAGGTCACTGGTGACTCAGGTGCTGCTGGGGGTGGTGCTGCTCGGTGTGCTCAGCCTGGGGGTGCTGAGCCTGAGGGTGCTGCTTCTGGGGGTGCTGCTTTTGGGGGTGCTGAGCCTAAGGGTGCTGAGCCTGGGGGTGCTGCGCCTGTGGGTGCCGAACATGTGGAGCTGGGTCTACTGGTGGTCTTCCAGGTGCCTCCCTTCAGCGGTCTCCCCAGCGGGAGCCCCTCTCACCACAGCAGCTGCGCGAGTGGCTAGCTCAGCGCACTCGCCTCCGACGCAGCGCTACTGGAGCTGGGGGCACTGGAGCTGGAGGCACTTGCACTGGAGGCGCTGGAGCTGGAGGCGCTGGAGCTGGAGGCACTGGAGCTGGAGACGCTGGAGCTGGAGGTACTCGCGCCGGAGGCGCTCACGCTGGTAACGCAGGCGCTGGAGCTGGAGGCGCTGGCGCTGGAGGCACTGGAGCTGGAGGCGCTGGAGCTGGTGACGCTGGAGCTGGGGGCACTAGCACTGGTGACACTGGAGCTGGAGGCGCTGGCGCTGGAGGCACTGGCACTGGAGGCGCTGGAGCTGGTGTCGCTGGAGCTGGAGGCGGTGGAGCTGGAGGCACTAGAGGTGGAGGCCCTGTGCAGCAGCGACCGTTTTTCTTGCCGCCGCCACAGCTATCTGAGCTTCCGCCCGAGTCGGTGCTCCGTCAGGTTCTTAGTCTTCCTTCGTCCACTGCCCTTCCTCCAGACGCACAGCTGCCTGCCCCCCTTCCTTACACAGAGCAGCCAGAGTCCCTGACAGAGCGTCGTGAGCCTGCGTCTCGTCCTGTCTCCCCTGCTTGCACTGCTACCCGTACTCGTCGCGTCCCGCGTCCGCGTCCTCCTCCTGTGCTAGGTACTCACACTATGGCACTTCGTCCCTCCTCTGCTCCCCAGTGCATCCCACTGTCGTCTCCTCCTGCGTCCTCTCTTTCTGACATTCCGGACCCTGAGTCTAACGCTGTTCGTGCTGCTCACCCTACTGTCACGCGTCTCCTGGCTACAGTCGTCACTGGCCTGTCGTTTCAGTCTGCTCCTGCGTATGCCTTAGTCGCTGAGCTTGTGGACTTTGCTGCTGCGTGTTGTCAGGACTACGCTGCCAGTCTTCTCGCTGAGTGTGAGTCTGTCTGTCCTACGTCCACAGGCACCTACGTTGACGCAGTTCCCCCTCCTGGGGCGAACATAGTCGATGGCATGTGGATTTTCAGGGTGAAGTGGCCGCCGGGTTCTCCGCCTGTCTTCAAGGCTCGTTACGTTGCTCGAGGCTTCAGTCAGCGACAGGGAGTTGACTTCTTCCATACCTTCTCCCCTACCCCGAAGATGACCACTCTTCGGGTGTTGCTGCACGTTGCCGCTCAGCGTGACTACGAGCTTCACTCTCTTGACTTCAGTACAGCTTTCTTGCAGGGCAGCCTGCACGAGGAGATCTGGCTGCGCCGCCCCCCTGGCTTCACTGGGTCGTTTCCTACAGGTACCCAGTGGAGCCTCCGGCGGCCAGTCTACGGTCTCCGCCAGGCGCCTCGTGAGTGGCACGACACACTGAGGGCTACGCTTGCGGCTCTCGGGTTTGCTCCGTCCACTGCTGACCCGTCGCTGTTTCTGCGCATCGACACTTCACTGCCGTTGTTCTACATCCTCGTGTACGTCGACGACCTGGTCTTTGCCACTGCTGACACTGAGGCATTTGCCTTTGTGAAGTCGGAGTTGCAGAAGAGACACACCTGCACTGACTTGGGTGAGCTGCGCAGCTACCTTGGCTTGCAGATCACCCGGGACAGAGCACGCCACACCATCACCCTGACTCAGTCACACATGGTGCAGCAGGTCCTTCAGCGCTTCGGCTTCCAGTTCTCCTCACCACAATCCACTCCTCTGCCTACGAGTCACTCGCTCTCAGCTCTGCCTTCGGATGAGTCCGTAGAGCCGAGTGGCCCATATCCAGAGCTTGTGGGCTGCCTCATGTACCTGATGACCTGCACACGACCTGACCTTGCGTACCCTCTTAGCATCCTGGCTCGCTACGTTGCACCTGGGAGACACCGGCGAGAGCACTGGGAGGCTGCTAAGAGGGTGTTACGCTACTTGTGCAGTACATCAGGCATGGGGCTGGTGCTTGGACAACGGGGTGACGTTGTCCTCACTGGACACTTAGACGCCTCTTGGGTGGGTCGACGACGTGGCTACAGAGCGGTCGTCACAGGGGTACACCTTCAGCCTTGGCTCCGTCTCTGTTTCTTGGCGTTCTACTCGCTCTTCTTCTGTTCTCAGCTCCAGTTGTGAGGCTGAGATCTACGCCACAGCCATGGCTGCACAGGAGTTACGCTGGCTCACTTACCTGCTGACCGACTTGGGAGAGCGGCCTCGTTCTCCTCCAGTTCTGTACGTCGACAACAAGGCCGCTATTGCCTTGTGTCAGGAGCACAGACTGGAGCACAGAACGAAGCACATCGCTCTGCGTTACTTCCTTGCTCGAGAGCTGCAGCAGCGTGGCCAGCTTCGCCTTGCGTACGTGGACACACGGGCCAACACTGCTGATATATTCACCAAGGCACTTCCGCCTAGTGATCATCAGCATCACTGCACTACTTTAGTGCTCGTGTCCACTTTCTCTCACTTACTCACTGCTTGACTTTGCCTGTACTGTGATCACTATATATATATACCTGCATGTTTACACTTGCTAGGTTGTGATCACTGTACTATTTGCTCTCTCTTATATAACTATGCATGTGAACTGGCCATGTGGCCTTTTGCTTGTGCTCGGAATGTGTGGTGACTTCGTGATCCACCCTAAGCTTGCATTGCTCGTTTTGACTGGTCTTGTGACCACTTGTTCTCCCCCACTTTGCCTATGGGGGTGTGTCAAACTATAACAATGTTTATATTGTGTAGGCTGTAGTGGGGTAGCCCATAAGGGGTACAACCCATCTAGGGTTTCCCATATTTTTATCACCTTGCTTGCTAGTTCATTCCTTCTTGCCTTAGATTCTGACAATGTTCTCCCCTTCAGGTCGGTGCAGGTACTGGGCGAGCTTGCTGGCGATGTATGAGAGGTTCGAGCGGCATGTGACGGCGGCGAAAAGTAGACACCCGAGCTGCTGCTGGTAGAGGCGATGATTGGCAAGAGATAGTGGGGTGATGTCGGGCTCGTAGCCAGGTGGAGGAGAGCGGAAAGGAGTGGTGATGCTGATGGGAGTGATGCCGAATCTCTTGGCGAGGGTCTCGGCATATTTCATGGCGGAGAGGTGAATCAAGTCGGCCGATTGCGTCACGTTGAGGCCCAGGAAACAGGTGACGTCGTGATTCATCATCACTTCGAGCTTTTGCTTGATGTTGTTCTCGAAGCGGTCGAGCAGCTCCACGTTGTTCCCGGTGTAGAGCAAGTCGTCCACGTAGGCGACGAGTAGGATGAAGCTGTTGCGAGACTCGGGGCGGTACATCCCCTGATCGTGGGGAAGTTGCTGGAAGCCGAGCTCGATCAATACGGTGTGGAGATACTCTTGCCACAGGCGCGGTGCCTGTTTGATGTTGTAAGGAACTTTTGGAGGAGACAGACTGCATCCCCGTCTTCTTCGAATGCGTGCGGTTGTTCAACGTAAATGATTGCGATGACGATCGCGTAGAGGAAGGCGTTGGATACATCGATCCAGAAAAGAGGGCGTTGCTTTACGCCTGCGATGCAGATGAGAATGCGCACGCAGATATGGCGTCCAACAGGAGTGTAGGTCTTGTCAAAATCAACGAACTGAGTTTGTTCAAAGCCGCGAACAACCCAACGTACTTTGTATTTGTCAATGGCGCCGTCCGCGAGCGTTTTGATCCTCAAAACCCATTTTCCTTTGAGGATTTCCTCTTTGCGTGTCGTCGTGGTTACCAGCTTCCAGGTGCTGTCCTTCGACTTCTGCGGCCATGGCTGCTCTCCACTTCTCAGCATCGGGTCCGCTCAAAGCTTGGCGAACGGTGGTGGGCTCAACCAGTCGCTACTTACCCCGGATGGCGACGGCGAGGCCGAGAATGCGAAGCCCGGTGAGGTGGGATTTGGCTGCATTCGTAACTTCGTCTACCTCGTCGTCATCCCCAAGAATGTCGCGAACAGTGTCGCGAGAGGAGTTGTGATCGGGGTCTTCTTCCATGGGTGAGGCATTTCTACACTTGCATATTCGTGTTGCGCTTGTACTGCTTCATGTTGATCTCGGTTGGGAAGAATGTCGCTGTGCCGAATTCCTCTGTAACGGGCACAAAGGGTGCCTCCTCCCCAGTTGTTTCCTCTGGTTGCTCTCCAGCCACGTCAACCTCGTCCTGATCGTTGGCTCCCCATAGAAAGTGTGTTTTGTGCAGTGCGATGTTGTCTGTACAATGGCAGGGTCAGTCTTTGGTAGAAGATGCAGTCACGTGAACGCGTGACTTGGTGGGTGGTGAAGTCGAGGATGGTCCAAGCATGGAATTCTGATTCAATTCCGAGGTGGATGCCCCAGCGGACACGGTCTTCGAATTTCCCGTTTCGGGCAGTGTGAGGGCGGTACTGTACCATGCACCCGAAGACCCGAAGCATGCGAGTGGCAGGATTTTTACCGGTCCATTCCTTGAATGGTGAGCTGTTGTTGGGCAGGGCTTTTGAAGAAAGCATGTTGTGCAGACGAACGACATGCGCCATCGCGATGGGCCAATACTTGGTTGGCACCGCTGACTGCTTCATGAGAGCTCGCATCTTTGTCGCGAGGCTCCTGTTGGTTCTCTCCGCCCGTCCCTGTTGCTCGTAAGCGTAGGGGAGGGAGATCATCCTTTGGATCCCTCTTTCCACACAGAGGGTTTTGAACTCCTCTGATTGATACTCCAATGCTCTGTAAGTCTGGAAGGCCTTCAGCTTCTTACCTTTGCTCTGGGTTTCCGCCATATTGAGCCACATGTAGAAGCACTGGTAGGCGAGGTAGCCGTTGCTGACGTTCACAACCTAGAAGCGCATGGCAGCGTCGATGAAGGTAAGAGTGTACTACTCCCCTCCTGGTCCTTTAGCCGTGAATACCAGAAAGTCGATGTAGACCTTGTCGAGGGGTTTGTATTTTTTAGCTCCAGGTACCTTTTCGGCGAACGGGGTGTGCCGTAACGCGGCTTCCGGGCAGACGGTGCAGTTAGGTAAGTCCTTTCTTAGTTCAAGCATTTTTCCATCTAACAGCAACAGTGCGTCTTTCGCAAACACCTTTGCGTTGATGCAGTTGTTGAGCACTTCAACTGACGGGTGCCCCAGGCGTTTGTGCCAGATGTTGGGATCAGGGCGATATCCTCGTGTGTGTGCGTAGATCTCCTTCTCACGTGCCAAGATTTTTTTCTGCGGTTTCCTTTCCCACTTCTTTCGCAGGTTCTTCTGGTACGAGGATTTAAACTGCTGCCGCATGGAGTGTCTCGAGTCTCACTCCATGATATGTTTCGCAGATGTCGCCAATCGTGGTGGTGTCGATCGTCACGGGAAGCTCCAGTGGCCTTTCAGGAGGCGTCGGCGTAATTCTCGGGTGCCGATCTTCCAATTGCGTAACTTCTCCTTCCTCAAAGTCAGTGTCTCGACGCGAGGTAGTCCCTTCCGTCAGTTGTAACGGGGATAAGGTGAGGTCCATATTCTGTCAGCGATTCTTCCTCCTCTTCTTCAAATGCCTCCTGAGTAACCTCTGGTACTTCTTCTTCTTCTGTTCTTGCATATCCTGTGGCGATGTTACCCCATCCTCCTTCAGTTTCGATAGCTTCACCCAGTGTTGTGTTGTGAGCGATCCATGTGACGTCAACTGCGTCCCAACTTTCGGTTGTATTCCAGCCAAAAGTTTGTAAACTCTAGGCCATGTCATTTGTCTGGAGTCTTCCGCAATGTTTCTCTCTGAGCTAATTTCTTCTCCCTCCTCCACTGCCTGTGGTCCGATGTCTGCAGGGTTCGTGGTTGAGGCAACGGGTACTGCAAGTGCACGAAAGGTTCCGTCAAACCCTGGTCGCTGGTAATCTGTTTCTTCTGGGTGACTCCAAGTCGGCGACGATGGATGTCCGCGTGGATCAAGAACGATGACGCGATCTCTGTCGCCAGTAGTCCCAAGTGAGTCGAAGTCGAGCACGAACACTCCATTCTCGTTCTTCGCTTTTCCGAGAAGATTTCCTTCGTACATTAAGTGAAATTTGTTCTCTGATGACTTAAGGTCAACATCACACTTCATCAGCTGGGCGGCTAACAGGAGGTTGAACTGGAGTTCCGGCATGACGAGGACGTTGCTGATGTGGATGCAGTAGCCCGTGTCATTTGACTCCAGTTGGATCTGTCCGCGATTTCTCGCGTAGATCGTCTAGTTTTTGGCAACAATGATCTCCACTTCGTTGAAGAGGTCTTCACTATTGAGGATATATCTACTTGATGACACCATGAGCAACTGTCTTGGTACCACTTGTTGATGTCCTTATTTGCCTTGGCGAGATTTTCGAGCTTCGAAGTTAAGTGATGATCCATGTCGTGATCATTCTCATAATTGTAACCTTCGTCGTCGTGTGTGATGCGTGCAGGTGGTGACTCTTGGATCCACGGAGGTGCTTCTCAGTCGTATGGGATGCGATCGACCGTCAACTCGTCGTACGTTGAATCGTTCTCTTCCTCGTCTTCAACTGAGCCTTCCGGTCTTCCTCCAGGCAGGTCTGCGAACATGTCTTTCAGCTCCGGAAGAAGCGGTAATCGCGATTAATTCGAGGTGGTCCGTGTCGCACCATACACGTTAACACCTTGTTCTTCCATTTGTTGCTTGTGTTTGCAGGGATGCGTGCCGGGGCCTGTGAAGTGCTGGCGACAGCAGGCGGGGACACAGTTTGGTTGCGCACCGGAGCTCCTGCGGGTTGCTGGTAAGCCATTCCTCCTTGTTGCCTTTGTTTGTGATTGTTGTTACTATTCAGTTTCTAGCATTCCTTGATCGTATGTCCAGTCTTCTTGCAGTACTTGCAGAAGAGTCGTTTCTTGTCAGGTGGTGCTTGTGTGTTCGTATAAAATGCAATCTTCTCTTTCTTGTTGCCTCTCTCATTGTACAGGTCAATCTCCTTTTGCTCGGTGAGGAGAAAGGCGCAGAGCGAAGTTTTGCTGAGCGTTTCTTGGGTGCGGAGAAGCGACTTGCAGTGGCGCCATTCCGAACTCAACCCAGCGAGGATGATGGTGACGAACATGTCGTCAGCGAAGTTGCCGCCTCTTTTCTTGAATTGATCTCTCAGATTTCTGCAGCGGTTGATGTATGGTCCGGATTTTTCTCCGGGATGCATCCTTACATTGTTTAGCTGGTTTAGCAGGCGTTGCAATGTCGCAGGTGCGCAGGTGCTCCCAGGATCGTTGTGCGGGCGCCCACTCGTTTTTGAACGAGCGAATGCTCAGCTGCTCCGCAGGAGACATATTTCAGATCAAGACCGTGTACGCGAGGAGCGACTCGTTGGAGTATTGCGTCTTCTCCTAAGGTGAGCCGTTGGTCGAAAAAGGTAATGATCCGTCGTAGTACATCCAGATTTGAGTGCTTTGTGCCAGGAGCTCAAACTAGAAGCTCCAGCTGTAGAAGCCCTTCCCGTCAAAGAGCGTTGACGTTCTGAGCTTGGAATTCGATAGGAATTTGCTCTGTATTGACGTTATTGCTTCGTAATGCGCTCGTTATTGTGCTTGTGCAGGTCCTTGCGCTCCACGATTGTTGAACTTGAACGATCGCTCGGAGTGAGGGCCTTGTGGGTCGGAGGTCTGCAGACGTAGTTGGAGCCGTAGATGCTCATCGGCTGATGATGGCTCTCCAGGGCGTTGATGCGGATAATGAGCTGCTCGATGAGTGCTGGATCCACTGATGTCACTCCTGAGGTGACATTGAATGGTGGATGAACAGGATTTTCTCCAGTTTCTCCGTAGTCTGCGCTTGGCATGATGCTTTCCCTGATTGTAAGGATAATTTATAATAAAGATTGTTTTGGTTCATAGTCTCAGCAGTTCCTATGATCCAAAATAGCTCTCATACCATGTTAGAGTGAGGATCAGGCCCTCAGATTCGTTTTAGGGTACCCTTACGCCTCAGGGCAGATCTTAAAAATCTGATTTTCAGCCTTGATTTTTCAGGGCATGCTTTCAAGAAGACCCTGATTCTTCAGGGCTGTGCATGGCTTTCTCCCTGGGATCTCAAGGCAAGTTGATGTCACCTTCCTGATTCGTACAAAGGACAGGGTTTGTATTTGTAGTGTTACCGCTTTAACACCTTGTAAAGCTTCACTGGCGCATCATTTAAACCAGTCAGTCACACAACTCCAGTCCCAGTTACAGCCTATGTAGCCACTACTACTAAACATTGGCCTCCTTCTCATCATCACTGCTAAATCCACTCCCGCCGCTGCTATTATCCCCCCCACCATCATCGTCCTCCTCCCCCTCCTCCTCCTGTTCGACCACCTTCTCCATTCTCTTGCCGCTCACAGCCCTCCCTTGCTCCTTCCTGGTGGGCCGCCTCTTCTTGCTGCTGCGCCACATGTCCACGACATCGTTCCAGTCGATGTCGTACTCCAGCAAGCTGAGGGTCCTAAGGTATCCCAGCCTTGCATCGCAGAGGCTCGTCCTTTTCCACGACTTGATGAGGTTTTGTCTGCTGAATCCCCGCTCACATTCCATAGTGCTCAAGGGGAGGACGGCCACCGCAGCCCACAGCCGAACCAAGTTGGGGTAGCTTCTCTCCCAGTCAGCTGTCTTCAGTATTGCTGCCAGCCGCTCCTTGAAACCGCGTTTGCCACGTGGACTGCCTTGCAGAATAGGCACAAGGGTCTTCAGTTCTTTCTTGGCGGCTCTCTTCTCCACTCTTGTCACAAATGGATGTCACAGAACCAGCAATGTGTTAGTTTAATACATTGACAAATACACAAAAGCACTTTTGCATCACGAACATCGCCAAAAGCACTTGTGGCAAAACAACGCACCTGGAAGGATTTCACTCCTTTTGGTCACGTGGAAGAGGTCGACGAGCATATCGAAGCAGTCGTGGCAGTGCTCGTCCCGACCCTGTCTGTCGAGGGGGTATGTATCAGGCATAAAGAGCTTCACTCCATTGAGGTTCTGTAGATCCTTCATGCGGAATTGGAAGGAGCCGTTCGTGGCCTTGGCATGAGCGCGCCAGACGGTGAGGCAGGAATCGAGATCACCACCGCACTTGCTGTGGTCTGGCAATACCTCTTCATGCAGCATGAAGTTGTGGGTCTTGGGCCTACCTTCACCGTCAACACCTTTCACGGTTGTGCCACGGTCGGATTTGTGCATGGACAGGAAGGCGGGAAGCTGCAGTTGACTCTTGTCGCCGTCGTAGTCGCCGCTGCCGCTCTCGATGTACTGCTCTCGGATGAAGACCATCGTTCGTCGGACAACAGAGTGCACGGACGTCAAGTCCACCTGGGGGGATATCAGGGCACGGTTATAACACGTGTAAACAAACAACAAGCAGGGTAAGTAAAAGATTCACACGAAACGCGGTTTAGAACCAGCTTCAAAAGGACTCACCTCGCGCCTTAGGAACTCCAGATTGAGAATGTTGAGCAGAGCGAGCATGTCTGCCAGGTAGTAGAGGAAGACATGAAATTTCAGAGATGTCACGATGTGGTACACCTTCTCAACATACTCGTGCAGGAACACATGACCGCTGGGAAGACGCGCACAAGCCGCGCGATGGCGTCACCTCGACTTAGCCACCACACTGCATGTATTTCCTGGATCTCCAGGTTGGTTCGACAAAACTCTTCCTGGAGCTCCTGGAAAGTGTTGTGCGTTGGTTGAAACCTCCCTAGATCCTATGCGAGTGTTCTCAGCATGGAGTCCACGACGCCAAGCTCTGGCAGCGTAAGGGCACCGTCCTTGGCCGCCAAAGCCTCGCTGAAGGAACACAACACAAGATCACAGGATTGTAAGAAACGCGGTCATGCAGAACTCCATCAATATGACTTAATCCACTGGCTTACCGGTGGGCGATGCAGTGACAGCTGAACAGATGAGGGATGTGCAGCCGAAGATGAGCTACCAGCCCGTTAGTCCCTCCGAGCTTCACTTGCGCTCCATCCGTGCTCATGCCACAGATCTTGTTCAGGTTAATGTCCCAGTGCTCGAGGTGGTTCAGAATCACTGAAAGCAATGAGGCAGAATCGCATCTATCCACCATTAGCAAACCGAGGAGCTCAGTCACAACATGGTAATCATGCAAGAAAGTGACGAACACCATCAAATGTTTGCCACGAACGCGATCCGTGCTCTCGTCGCACGTGAGTCTGATAAAAGGACTAGTCCTGAGCCAATGATCTTCGCGCTGACGGAGGTATGTTGCCGTGGTACTGATGAGTTCATGTGCCCCATACCTGCATCACCATCAGAGCAAAAAGGGCATCAGTAATAGAGTGAAACACATAAATGCTCATTTCCTATGACCCATATATTTACGTTGTATAGTAAGAACCGTACCCCTTTGCAGGGAATCCGGGAGTTCCCCGCTGCGCCAAATGCTTCACCAGATCAACCCACATCCCGATTGGTGCCTCGGATTTGGAGATGAAGAGGAGTGTCGGGCACAGAGCGATGACCCAGCCACGCTGGATGTCAGTGGCCTTGGGACAGTCTTCAATGCGGACCTTCCCCTTAGCGGCCTTCAGTTCATTGTGTACTACGCGCCTGTGCTTTGTCGACAATTGGTGTGTGCGAAATGCCTGCGTTTGCACGTCCACCGCTCCTTCTCCTTGTGCGTCGTAGTCCGTTCCCGAACCTACATGCGTGATGCAGATTTAACGCTTGACAGAGGGGAACTCCGACACTAGTTTGAAGAAGAATAAGCCATGGAAAATCACGCTGCCACTCGCGTTTATATTTGAACAGAGCTTACTGGTACTTGTTTTGAGCTTCGTCTTCAAGCTCTTCGGATGATGAGCTTGCAATTGCACGCGACGGGCCAGAGACACACGGCACGAGTCGGATTGGGGTGGGGACTCCGAAGGAAGCATTCTGAATGAACGATATGCGCGTTTGCCTGTAACGTGGTGCTACAAGTTTGGTTGTTCGAGGACCTACTCGCACGGCGCCAGGGGTGACACGAGCTGCTCTGGGAGCTAAAGTGGGCGGAGGCGACGGGGAAACCGCTTGCGAAGATCCCGCAGTAGATGGAACGACAGGCGGGATTGGCTCGGTAGCGACGGTAGCGACGGCATTTTCACCTGAGAGAAAAGACAAATCTAGGCGGGAAAATGTTCGTCCACCTCCCCCGCACCCCCTCTCACCCTAAATTTAGCCTACGGTGAAATACTCGCCAGGGCAAGCCTCGGCATAGATCCTGACGCTTCAAGACAAAATTGTAACACTATCTTGAGTTGTCAGGGTGCTTATACAACCATCATCCTGATTATACAGGGCACATAATAACCAGATCCTGAAAAATCAGGGTACTTCCCCTCCCGAAACCCTGAAAATCAGGGTATCAGGATCTTTTACATTGATAATGTAAGAGCTGGTGAGGATCTTGGATAGGATAGGTCTGCCTTAGAGAGATTTGAAAGCGGAAGTTTTTGTAGTAGGAACCTTGTACTCGGTCCAGATGATCAACAGTCGCGACAGTTAACCTTTGCGACTATTGACCTTCCTGCCCTTGTACGGGCTGATCCGATACTGCTACTTGCTTCGATAGTGACGGGTGCGATATAACTGCACCTACGGGAATGCTTAAGTCAATTCCCTTCTTACTTCAACAACAATCAGCCTGGCAACTCCGAACGAGTGGGCTAAAATACGCAAAATATTGCCACAAGGAGTAGACCATAACGAACTCTTTGTTTGTAGGTTTCGGTTATATAACCTCCTCTTCTCTTGAGCTGTATGCGGAGGGCTATCACCTATTAAAATAAATCTTAAAACGAAACGATAACGCAGGAGCGGTTGCCAGAGTGGTTACTGTACCAGGCTGAGCTGGTGTTGCGTCAGCTCGGCCACCTGGCCGAGTCAGGTGGTCCCACCAAGCAACGTCACCTAGTTGCTTGGTGCGTCAGCGGGTGATACACCCAGTTGGGAAGTCGACAGTGATTGGTTAGGACGCGGCACCTGTTTTGACTTTGCCAGGATCGATCGTGGGAGGGTACGATGTGCCGCTTGTACAGTGTATTGACGATGTCGTCAATAACTGGTATCCGTTTTTCGCATAAAGTCGAGAATGTACAGTAAACTGGTCACCAAAATGGTGGCACCCGCAGCCCGCACGTTCGATGTGCCATGGTGCACACATCGATCTTGCGTTTGGGTTGGCGGGAGGGCACATCGCGCCACAGGTGACAGCCGCGATCGATCGGCGTCGCCTACAGTCGCAGGCAAACAATGATTGGACGACAAGCTGTGCTTTTCTCTGAATGGTTAACGACTAAGTTACTGGTGTATTTCGCTGCAGAACCTACCTGCCCGATCTTGCAATTTCGATCCTGGCACCCATGGCTCAACGTGTCTATCACACTACAAATTTGCAGTGTGTGCACATCGATGTGCCGATCGATGTGAGAGAATCGGTGTACCGGGCTTCAGCCCCCTCGATCCTGGAAAAGACAAAACATGTGCCGCGTCCTTAGATGACCACTCAGCGACCAGAATCGCTCGCGAGTACAGTTGAGAGCAATTGGTTTGACCCCGCAAGTGATTTGCACGTAGTTTTCGAAGGACCACCGACCTAATTCGCAATCTTATAACACCTCCTCCTGCTGTAAGCCTCTCTAGTTATTATCACCCGCAGCTTCACTACAGGCGATAGTCAATCGGCATGGTCCTCGCGCGTGTTCTCACGGGCTCCGCTCGTCGCGGAACAGCTAAATTCCGCCCCGGCGTTTCCCTCCTCTCTCGCCTCTCACCGCCCAATTCCACTTGTTCCGTTATAAACACCACTCCCTGCGCCGCTTCGGGCCATGCTTGTAGCGGAGCAGCAGCAGCGCTGCGGCCTATAGCGGGGATGCCGCCGCTCCTGCCGTTCGCAGCAGCGACTGCTGTTGCGTCATCTTCGACGCTAGCAGGAGTCGCCGGGGCAGGGTCGCCCAGCAGCGTGGCATGCGGGCCGCATCTGACGGAGGGGTTGGACTCGTCGTCGTCTGCTCCCGCCGCACACGTCTTTAAACAGGTGACATGTCTTAAAACAGGTAGGAGGTATATCAACATACATGTGGTCCTTTCCCTTCCCGTCGCTTCCCTTCCCTTTTCTTCCCTTCCCGTCCCTCCCCACCCCGTCCGTCAGGGAGTCGGAAATACCCACCGCAATAGAGCGGCGTGCTGAGATGGGGGCTTAGCGGATAGGGAAGCAGGAAAAGTAGCACGAGCGGCACGAGCAGCACGAGCAGCACGAGCAGCACGAGCAGCACGAGCGGCACGAGCAGCGTGTGCAGGGACCCGTGAATCTCACCTTTGCTCCTCACCACCCCCTCCCGCTTCCACCGCTCTTCCTCCAACCCCTTTCCCCCCCACCTTCCCAGCCGTAAGTGTATTGCGCATACATACGCAGCACAAGCAGCGCAAGTAGAGCCTACCTACCTCTACGTACCCTCTTCCCTTCCGGTTCCCCTACCTTCCCCCTCTCACCCCTCCAGCCGTCAGTGATTGAGCTGGAGCGGCTACAGGCGGAGGCGCTCAAGGGTGGGGGGTTTGAACGGATACGGAAGCAGCACAAGCAGGGGAAGCTGACCGCCAGAGAGCGAATTATGACTCTGCTGGACCCGGGGTCGTTCGAAGAGCTGGGTGAGTGCCGCGGCGAGGCGAGGCACGAGCAGTGCAGGGGAAGCAGCGCAAGCAGCACAAGCAGGGCTAGCTGATCGCCAGAGAGCGAATCATGACTTAGCTGGACCCGGGGCCGTTTGAAGAGCAGGGTGAGTGGCGCGGCAAGGAGAGGCAAGACACACAGCACAGCGCGAGCAGTGCAGGAAAAGCAGCGCAAGCATCAGTGGCAGGGCAAGCTGACAGGCAGAGAGCGAATCATGACTTTGGTGGACCCGGGGTCGTTTAAAGAGCTGGGTGAGTGAGGGGCGCGGCAGCACGCACGAGTGGCACGAACAGCACGAGCAGCACGAGCAGCACGAGCAGTGCATAAGAAGTAGAGAGTTCATCAGTGGCAGAGCAAGCTGACAGCCAGAGAGCGAGTCGTGGCTCTGCTCGACCCAGGGTGGTTCGACGAGCTGGGTGAGTGGCGAGGCGAGGCAGCACGAGCAGTGCAGTGCAGTGCAGGGGAAATAGCGCAAGGCAAGCATGACTGGCAGGCAGGCAGGGCAAGGTGACAGGGAGAGAACGATTGATGGCAGTGCTGGACCCAGGTGTGTTTTAAGAGGTGGGTGAGTGAAGAGCGTGCACAGTGAGCATGAGCAGGAATAGCGGCACAGCATACACAGCATGAGCAGGAATAGCAGCACAGCATACACAGCATGAGCAGGAATAGCAGCACAGCATACACAGCATGAGCAGGAATAGCAGCACAGCATACACAGCATGAGCAGGAATAGCAGCACAGCATACACAGCATGAGCAGGAATAGCAGCACAGCATACACAGCATGAGCAGGAATAGCAGCACAGCATACACAGCATGAGCAGGAATAGCAGCACAGCATACACAGCATGAGCAGGAATAGCAGCACAGCATACACAGCATGAGCAGGAATAGCGGCACAGCATACACAGCATGAGCAGGAATAGCGGCACAGCATACACAGCATGAGCAGGAATAGCAGCACAGCATACACAGCATGAGCAGGAATAGCAGCACAGCATACACAGCATGAGCAGGAATAGCAGCACAGCATACACAGCATGAGCAGGAATAGCAGCACAGCATACACAGCATGAGCAGGAATAGCAGCACAGCATACACAGCATGAGCAGGAATAGCAGCACAGCATACACAGCATGAGCAGGAATAGCAGCACAGCATACACAGCATGAGCAGGAATAGCAGCACAGCATACACAGCATGAGCAGGAATAGCAGCACAGCATACACAGCATGAGCAGGAATAGCAGCACAGCATACACAGCATGAGCAGGAATAGCAGCACAGCATACACAGCATGAGCAGGAATAGCGGCACAGCATACACAGCATGAGCAGGAATAGCGGCACAGCATACACAGCATGAGCAGGAATAGCAGCACAGCATACACAGCATGAGCAGGAATAGCAGCACAGCATACACAGCATGAGCAGGAATAGCGGCACAGCATACACAGCATGAGCAGGAATAGCAGCACAGCATACACAGCATGAGCAGGAATAGCAGCACAGCATACACAGCATGAGCAGGAATAGCAGCACAGCATACACAGCATGAGCAGGAATAGCAGCACAGCATACACAGCATGAGCAGGAATAGCAGCACAGCATACACAGCATGAGCAGGAATAGCAGCACAGCATACACAGCATGAGCAGGAATAGCGGCACAGCATACACAGCATGAGCAGGAATAGCAGCACAGCATACACAGCATGAGCAGGAATAGCAGCACAGCATACACAGCATGAGCAGGAATAGCAGCACAGCATACACAGCATGAGCAGGAATAGCAGCACAGCATACACAGCATGAGCAGGAATAGCAGCACAGCATACACAGCATGAGCAGGAATAGCAGCACAGCATACACAGCATGAGCAGGAATAGCAGCACAGCATACACAGCATGAGCAGGAATAGCAGCACAGCATACACAGCATGAGCAGGAATAGCAGCACAGCATACACAGCATGAGCAGGAATAGCAGCACAGCATACACAGCATGAGCAGGAATAGCAGCACAGCATACACAGCATGAGCAGGAATAGCAGCACAGCATACAGCGCATGAGCAGGAATTGCGGCACAGCATACACAGCATGAGCAGGAATAGCGGCACAGCATACACAGCATGAGCAGGAATAGCAGCACAGCATACACAGCATGAGCAGGAATAGCAGCACAGCATACACAGCATGAGCAGGAATAGCAGCACAGCATACACAGCATGAGCAGGAATAGCGGCACAGCATACACAGCATGAGCAGGAATAGCGGCACAGCATACACAGCATGAGCAGGAATAGCAGCACAGCATACACAGCATGAGCAGGAATAGCAGCACAGCATACACAGCATGAGCAGGAATAGCAGCACAGCATACACAGCATGAGCAGGAATAGCAGCACAGCATACACAGCATGAGCAGGAATAGCAGCACAGCATACACAGCATGAGCAGGAATAGCAGCACAGCATACACAGCATGAGCAGGAATAGCAGCACAGCATACACAGCATGAGCAGGAATAGCAGCACAGCATACACAGCATGAGCAGGAATAGCGGCACAGCATACACAGCATGAGCAGGAATAGCAGCACAGCATACACAGCATGAGCAGGAATAGCGGCACAGCATACACAGCATGAGCAGGAATAGCGGCACAGCATACACAGCATGAGCAGGAATAGCGGCACAGCATACACAGCATGAGCAGGAATAGCAGCACAGCATACACAGCATGAGCAGGAATAGCAGCACAGCATACACAGCATGAGCAGGAATAGCAGCACAGCATACACAGCATGAGCAGGAATAGCAGCACAGCATACACAGCATGAGCAGGAATAGCAGCACAGCATACACAGCATGAGCAGGAATAGCAGCACAGCATACACAGCATGAGCAGGAATAGCAGCACAGCATACACAGCATGAGCAGGAATAGCAGCACAGCATACACAGCATGAGCAGGAATAGCAGCACAGCATACACAGCATGAGCAGGAATAGCGGCACAGCATACACAGCATGAGCAGGAATAGCAGCACAGCATACACAGCATGAGCAGGAATAGCAGCACAGCATACACAGCATGAGCAGGAATAGCAGCACAGCATACACAGCATGAGCAGGAATAGCAGCACAGCATACACAGCATGAGCAGGAATAGCAGCACAGCATACACAGCATGAGCAGGAATAGCAGCACAGCATACACAGCATGAGCAGGAATAGCAGCACAGCATACACAGCATGAGCAGGAATAGCAGCACAGCATACACAGCATGAGCAGGAATAGCAGCACAGCATACACAGCATGAGCAGGAATAGCAGCACAGCATACACAGCATGAGCAGGAATAGCAGCACAGCATACACAGCATGAGCAGGAATAGCAGCACAGCATACAGCGCATGAGCAGGAATTGCGGCACAGCATACACAGCATGAGCAGGAATAGCGGCACAGCATACACAGCATGAGCAGGAATAGCAGCACAGCATACACAGCATGAGCAGGAATAGCAGCACAGCATACACATCATAAGCAGGAATAGCAGCACAGCATACACAGCATGAGCAGGAATAGCAGCACAGCATACACAGCATGAGCAGGAATAGCAGCACAGCATACACAGCATGAGCAGGAATAGCGGCACAGCATACACAGCATGAGCAGGAATAGCGGCACAGCATACACAGCATGAGCAGGAATAGCGGCACAGCATACACAGCATTAGCAGAAATAGCAGCACAGCATACACAGCATGAGCAGGAATAGCAGCACAGCATACACAGCATGAGCAGGAATAGCAGCACAGCATACACAGCATGAGCAGGAATAGCAGCACAGCATACACAGCATGAGCAGGAATAGCAGCACAGCATACACAGCATGAGCAGGAATAGCAGCACAGCATACACAGCATGAGCAGGAATAGCAGCACAGCATACACAGCATGAGCAGGAATAGCAGCACAGCATACACAGCATGAGCAGGAATAGCAGCACAGCATACACAGCATGAGCAGGAATAGCAGCACAGCATACACAGCATGAGCAGGAATAGCAGCACAGCATACACAGCATGAGCAGGAATAGCAGCACAGCATACACAGCATGAGCAGGAATAGCAGCACAGCATACACAGCATGAGCAGGAATAGCAGCACAGCATACACAGCATGAGCAGGAATAGCAGCACAGCATACACAGCATGAGCAGGAATAGCAGCACAGCATACACAGCATGAGCAGGAATAGCAGCACAGCATACACAGCATGAGCAGGAATAGCAGCACAGCATACACAGCATGAGCAGGAATAGCAGCACAGCATACACAGCATGAGCAGGAATAGCAGCACAGCATACACAGCATGAGCAGGAATAGCGGCACAGCATACACAGCATGAGCAGGAATAGCGGCACAGCATACACAGCATGAGCAGGAATAGCGGCACAGCATACACAGCATGAGCAGGAATAGCGGCACAGCATACACAGCATGAGCAGGAATAGCGGCACAGCATACACAGCATGAGCAGGAATAGCAGCACAGCATACACAGCATGAGCAGGAATAGCGGCACAGCATACACAGCATGAGCAGGAATAGCGGCACAGCATACACAGCATGAGCAGGAATAGCAGCACAGCATACACAGCATGAGCAGGAATAGCAGCACAGCATACACAGCATGAGCAGGAATAGCGGCACAGCATACACAGCATGAGCAGGAATAGCGGCACAGCATACACAGCATGAGCAGGAATAGCGGCACAGCATACACAGCATGAGCAGGAATAGCGGCACAGCATACACAGCATGAGCAGGAATAGCAGCACAGCATACACAGCATGAGCAGGAATAGCAGCACAGCATACACAGCATGAGCAGGAATAGCAGCACAGCATACACAGCATGAGCAGGAATAGCAGCACAGCATACACAGCATGAGCAGGAATAGCAGCACAGCATACACAGCATGAGCAGGAATAGCAGCACAGCATACACAGCATGAGCAGGAATAGCAGCACAGCATACACAGCATGAGCAGGAATAGCAGCACAGCATACACAGCATGAGCAGGAATAGCAGCACAGCATACACAGCATGAGCAGGAATAGCAGCACAGCATACACAGCATGAGCAGGAATAGCAGCACAGCATACACAGCATGAGCAGGAATAGCAGCACAGCATACACAGCATGAGCAGGAATAGCAGCACAGCATACACAGCATGAGCAGGAATAGCAGCACAGCATACACAGCATGAGCAGGAATAGCAGCACAGCATACACAGCATGAGCAGGAATAGCAGCACAGCATACACAGCATGAGCAGGAATAGCAGCACAGCATACACAGCATTCGCAGGAATAGCAGCACAGCATACACAGCATGAGCAGGAATAGCAGCACAGCATACACAGCATGAGCAGGAATAGCGGCACAGCATACACAGCATGAGCAGGAATAGCGGCACAGCATACACAGCATGAGCAGGAATAGCAGCACAGCATACACAGCATGAGCAGGAATAGCAGCACAGCATACACAGCATGAGCAGGAATAGCAGCACAGCATACACAGCATGAGCAGGAATAGCAGCACAGCATACACAGCATGAGCAGGAATAGCAGCACAGCATACACAGCATGAGCAGGAATAGCAGCACAGCATACACAGCATGAGCAGGAATAGCAGCACAGCATACACAGCATGAGCAGGAATAGCAGCACAGCATACACAGCATGAGCAGGAATAGCAGCACAGCATACACAGCATGAGCAGGAATAGCAGCACAGCATACACAGCATGAGCAGGAATAGCGGCACAGCATACACAGCATGAGCAGGAATAGCAGCACAGCATACACAGCATGAGCAGGAATAGCGGCACAGCATACACAGCATGAGCAGGAATAGCGGCACAGCATACACAGCATGAGCAGGAATAGCAGCACAGCATACACAGCATGAGCAGGAATAGCAGCACAGCATACACAGCATGAGCAGGAATAGCAGCACAGCATACACAGCATGAGCAGGAATAGCGGCACAGCATACACAGCATGAGCAGGAATAGCAGCACAGCATACACAGCATGAGCAGGAATAGCGGCACAGCATACACAGCATGAGCAGGAATAGCAGCACAGCATACACAGCATGAGCAGGAATAGCAGCACAGCATACACAGCATGAGCAGGAATAGCAGCACAGCATACACAGCATGAGCAGGAATAGCAGCACAGCATACACAGCATGAGCAGGAATAGCAGCACAGCATACACAGCATGAGCAGGAATAGCAGCACAGCATACACAGCATGAGCAGGAATAGCAGCACAGCATACACAGCATGAGCAGGAATAGCAGCACAGCATACACAGCATGAGCAGGAATAGCAGCACAGCATACACAGCATGAGCAGGAATAGCAGCACAGCATACACAGCATGAGCAGGAATAGCAGCACAGCATACACAGCATGAGCAGGAATAGCAGCACAGCATACACAGCATGAGCAGGAATAGCGGCACAGCATACACAGCATGAGCAGGAATAGCGGCACAGCATACACAGCATGAGCAGGAATAGCGGCACAGCATACACAGCATGAGCAGGAATAGCGGCACAGCATACACAGCATGAGCAGGAATAGCGGCACAGCATACACAGCATGAGCAGGAATAGCAGCACAGCATACACAGCATGAGCAGGAATAGCAGCACAGCATACACAGCATGAGCAGGAATAGCGGCACAGCATACACAGCATGAGCAGGAATAGCGGCACAGCATACACAGCATGAGCAGGAATAGCAGCACAGCATACACAGCATGAGCAGGAATAGCAGCACAGCATACACAGCATGAGCAGGAATAGCAGCACAGCATACACAGCATGAGCAGGAATAGCAGCACAGCATACACAGCATGAGCAGGAATAGCAGCACAGCATACACAGCATGAGCAGGAATAGCAGCACAGCATACACAGCATGAGCAGGAATAGCAGCACAGCATACACAGCATGAGCAGGAATAGCAGCACAGCATACACAGCATGAGCAGGAATAGCAGCACAGCATACACAGCATGAGCAGGAATAGCAGCACAGCATACACAGCATGAGCAGGAATAGCAGCACAGCATACACAGCATGAGCAGGAATAGCAGCACAGCATACACAGCATGAGCAGGAATAGCAGCACAGCATACACAGCATGAGCAGGAATAGCAGCACAGCATACACAGCATGAGCAGGAATAGCAGCACAGCATACACAGCATGAGCAGGAATAGCAGCACAGCATACACAGCATGAGCAGGAATAGCAGCACAGCATACACAGCATGAGCAGGAATAGCAGCACAGCATACACAGCATGAGCAGGAATAGCGGCACAGCATACACAGCATGAGCAGGAATAGCGGCACAGCATACACAGCATGAGCAGGAATAGCAGCACAGCATACACAGCATGAGCAGGAATAGCGGCACAGCATACACAGCATGAGCAGGAATAGCGGCACAGCATACACAGCATGAGCAGGAATAGCAGCACAGCATACACAGCATGAGCAGGAATAGCAGCACAGCATACACAGCATGAGCAGGAATAGCAGCACAGCATACACAGCATGAGCAGGAATAGCAGCACAGCATACACAGCATGAGCAGGAATAGCAGCACAGCATACACAGCATGAGCAGGAATAGCAGCACAGCATACACAGCATGAGCAGGAATAGCAGCACAGCATACACAGCATGAGCAGGAATAGCAGCACAGCATACACAGCATGAGCAGGAATAGCGGCACAGCATACACAGCATGAGCAGGAATAGCGGCACAGCATACACAGCATGAGCAGGAATAGCAGCACAGCATACACAGCATGAGCAGGAATAGCAGCACAGCATACACAGCATGAGCAGGAATAGCGGCACAGCATACACAGCATGAGCAGGAATAGCAGCACAGCATACACAGCATGAGCAGGAATAGCAGCACAGCATACACAGCATGAGCAGGAATAGCAGCACAGCATACACAGCATGAGCAGGAATAGCAGCACAGCATACACAGCATGAGCAGGAATAGCAGCACAGCATACACAGCATGAGCAGGAATAGCGGCACAGCATACACAGCATGAGCAGGAATAGCAGCACAGCATACACAGCATGAGCAGGAATAGCAGCACAGCATACACAGCATGAGCAGGAATAGCAGCACAGCATACACAGCATGAGCAGGAATAGCAGCACAGCATACACAGCATGAGCAGGAATAGCAGCACAGCATACACAGCATGAGCAGGAATAGCAGCACAGCATACACAGCATGAGCAGGAATAGCAGCACAGCATACACAGCATGAGCAGGAATAGCGGCACAGCATACACAGCATGAGCAGGAATAGCGGCACAGCATACACAGCATGAGCAGGAATAGCGGCACAGCATACACAGCATGAGCAGGAATAGCGGCACAGCATACACAGCATGAGCAGGAATAGCGGCACAGCATACACAGCATGAGCAGGAATAGCGGCACAGCATACACAGCATGAGCAGGAATAGCGGCACAGCATACACAGCATGAGCAGGAATAGCGGCACAGCATACACAGCATGAGCAGGAATAGCGGCACAGCATACACAGCATGAGCAGGAATAGCAGCACAGCATACACAGCATGAGCAGGAATAGCAGCACAGCATACACAGCATGAGCAGGAATAGCGGCACAGCATACACAGCATGAGCAGGAATAGCGGCACAGCATACACAGCATGAGCAGGAATAGCGGCACAGCATACACAGCATGAGCAGGAATAGCGGCACAGCATACACAGCATGAGCAGGAATAGCAGCACAGCATACACAGCATGAGCAGGAATAGCAGCACAGCATACACAGCATGAGCAGGAATAGCGGCACAGCATACACAGCATGAGCAGGAATAGCGGCACAGCATACACAGCATGAGCAGGAATAGCGGCACAGCATACACAGCATGAGCAGGAATAGCGGCACAGCATACACAGCATGAGCAGGAATAGCGGCACAGCATACACAGCATGAGCAGGAATAGCGGCACAGCATACACAGCATGAGCAGGAATAGCAGCACAGCATACACAGCATGAGCAGGAATAGCGGCACAGCATACACAGCATGAGCAGGAATAGCGGCACAGCATACACAGCATGAGCAGGAATAGCAGCACAGCATACACAGCATGAGCAGGAATAGCAGCACAGCATACACAGCATGAGCAGGAATAGCGGCACAGCATACACAGCATGAGCAGGAATAGCGGCACAGCATACACAGCATGAGCAGGAATAGCGGCACAGCATACACAGCATGAGCAGGAATAGCAGCACAGCATACACAGCATGAGCAGGAATAGCAGCACAGCATACACAGCATGAGCAGGAATAGCGGCACAGCATACACAGCATGAGCAGGAATAGCGGCACAGCATACACAGCATGAGCAGGAATAGCAGCACAGCATACACAGCATGAGCAGGAATAGCAGCACAGCATACACAGCATGAGCAGGAATAGCAGCACAGCATACACAGCATGAGCAGGAATAGCAGCACAGCATACACAGCATGAGCAGGAATAGCAGCACAGCATACACAGCATGAGCAGGAATAGCAGCACAGCATACACAGCATGAGCAGGAATAGCAGCACAGCATACACAGCATGAGCAGGAATAGCAGCACAGCATACACAGCATGAGCAGGAATAGCGGCACAGCATACACAGCATGAGCAGGAATAGCGGCACAGCATACACAGCATGAGCAGGAATAGCGGCACAGCATACACAGCATGAGCAGGAATAGCGGCACAGCATACACAGCATGAGCAGGAATAGCAGCACAGCATACACAGCATGAGCAGGAATAGCAGCACAGCATACACAGCATGAGCAGGAATAGCAGCACAGCATACACAGCATGAGCAGGAATAGCAGCACAGCATACACAGCATGAGCAGGAATAGCGGCACAGCATACACAGCATGAGCAGGAATAGCGGCACAGCATACACAGCATGAGCAGGAATAGCGGCACAGCATACACAGCATGAGCAGGAATAGCAGCACAGCATACACAGCATGAGCAGGAATAGCAGCACAGCATACACAGCATGAGCAGGAATAGCAGCACAGCATACACAGCATGAGCAGGAATAGCAGCACAGCATACACAGCATGAGCAGGAATAGCAGCACAGCATACACAGCATGAGCAGGAATAGCAGCACAGCATACACAGCATGAGCAGGAATAGCAGCACAGCATACACAGCATGAGCAGGAATAGCAGCACAGCATACACAGCATGAGCAGGAATAGCAGCACAGCATACACAGCATGAGCAGGAATAGCAGCACAGCATACACAGCATGAGCAGGAATAGCAGCACAGCATACACAGCATGAGCAGGAATAGCAGCACAGCATACACAGCATGAGCAGGAATAGCGGCACAGCATACACAGCATGAGCAGGAATAGCGGCACAGCATACACAGCATGAGCAGGAATAGCGGCACAGCATACACAGCATGAGCAGGAATAGCGGCACAGCATACACAGCATGAGCAGGAATAGCGGCACAGCATACACAGCATGAGCAGGAATAGCAGCACAGCATACACAGCATGAGCAGGAATAGCAGCACAGCATACACAGCATGAGCAGGAATAGCGGCACAGCATACACAGCATGAGCAGGAATAGCGGCACAGCATACACAGCATGAGCAGGAATAGCAGCACAGCATACACAGCATGAGCAGGAATAGCAGCACAGCATACACAGCATGAGCAGGAATAGCAGCACAGCATACACAGCATGAGCAGGAATAGCAGCACAGCATACACAGCATGAGCAGGAATAGCAGCACAGCATACACAGCATGAGCAGGAATAGCAGCACAGCATACACAGCATGAGCAGGAATAGCAGCACAGCATACACAGCATGAGCAGGAATAGCAGCACAGCATACACAGCATGAGCAGGAATAGCAGCACAGCATACACAGCATGAGCAGGAATAGCAGCACAGCATACACAGCATGAGCAGGAATAGCAGCACAGCATACACAGCATGAGCAGGAATAGCAGCACAGCATACACAGCATGAGCAGGAATAGCAGCACAGCATACACAGCATGAGCAGGAATAGCAGCACAGCATACACAGCATGAGCAGGAATAGCGGCACAGCATACACAGCATGAGCAGGAATAGCGGCACAGCATACACAGCATGAGCAGGAATAGCGGCACAGCATACACAGCATGAGCAGGAATAGCAGCACAGCATACACAGCATGAGCAGGAATAGCAGCACAGCATACACAGCATGAGCAGGAATAGCGGCACAGCATACACAGCATGAGCAGGAATAGCGGCACAGCATACACAGCATGAGCAGGAATAGCAGCACAGCATACACAGCATGAGCAGGAATAGCAGCACAGCATACACAGCATGAGCAGGAATAGCAGCACAGCATACACAGCATGAGCAGGAATAGCAGCACAGCATACACAGCATGAGCAGGAATAGCAGCACAGCATACACAGCATGAGCAGGAATAGCGGCACAGCATACACAGCATGAGCAGGAATAGCGGCACAGCATACACAGCATGAGCAGGAATAGCAGCACAGCATACACAGCATGAGCAGGAATAGCAGCACAGCATACACAGCATGAGCAGGAATAGCAGCACAGCATACACAGCATGAGCAGGAATAGCAGCACAGCATACACAGCATGAGCAGGAATAGCAGCACAGCATACACAGCATGAGCAGGAATAGCGGCACAGCATACACAGCATGAGCAGGAATAGCAGCACAGCATACACAGCATGAGCAGGAATAGCAGCACAGCATACACAGCATGAGCAGGAATAGCAGCACAGCATACACAGCATGAGCAGGAATAGCAGCACAGCATACACAGCATGAGCAGGAATAGCAGCACAGCATACACAGCATGAGCAGGAATAGCAGCACAGCATACACAGCATGAGCAGGAATAGCAGCACAGCATACACAGCATGAGCAGGAATAGCGGCACAGCATACACAGCATGAGCAGGAATAGCAGCACAGCATACACAGCATGAGCAGGAATAGCAGCACAGCATACACAGCATGAGCAGGAATAGCAGCACAGCATACACAGCATGAGCAGGAATAGCAGCACAGCATACACAGCATGAGCAGGAATAGCAGCACAGCATACACAGCATGAGCAGGAATAGCGGCACAGCATACACAGCATGAGCAGGAATAGCGGCACAGCATACACAGCATGAGCAGGAATAGCAGCACAGCATACACAGCATGAGCAGGAATAGCAGCACAGCATACACAGCATGAGCAGGAATAGCAGCACAGCATACACAGCATGAGCAGGAATAGCGGCACAGCATACACAGCATGAGCAGGAATAGCGGCACAGCATACACAGCATGAGCAGGAATAGCGGCACAGCATACACAGCATGAGCAGGAATAGCAGCACAGCATACACAGCATGAGCAGGAATAGCAGCACAGCATACACAGCATGAGCAGGAATAGCAGCACAGCATACACAGCATGAGCAGGAATAGCAGCACAGCATACACAGCATGAGCAGGAATAGCGGCACAGCATACACAGCATGAGCAGGAATAGCGGCACAGCATACACAGCATGAGCAGGAATAGCGGCACAGCATACACAGCATGAGCAGGAATAGCAGCACAGCATACACAGCATGAGCAGGAATAGCGGCACAGCATACACAGCATGAGCAGGAATAGCAGCACAGCATACACAGCATGAGCAGGAATAGCGGCACAGCATACACAGCATGAGCAGGAATAGCAGCACAGCATACACAGCATGAGCAGGAATAGCAGCACAGCATACACAGCATGAGCAGGAATAGCGGCACAGCATACACAGCATGAGCAGGAATAGCGGCACAGCATACACAGCATGAGCAGGAATAGCAGCACAGCATACACAGCATGAGCAGGAATAGCGGCACAGCATACACAGCATGAGCAGGAATAGCAGCACAGCATACACAGCATGAGCAGGAATAGCAGCACAGCATACACAGCATGAGCAGGAATAGCAGCACAGCATACACAGCATGAGCAGGAATAGCAGCACAGCATACACAGCATGAGCAGGAATAGCAGCACAGCATACACAGCATGAGCAGGAATAGCAGCACAGCATACACAGCATGAGCAGGAATAGCAGCACAGCATACACAGCATGAGCAGGAATAGCGGCACAGCATACACAGCATGAGCAGGAATAGCGGCACAGCATACACAGCATGAGCAGGAATAGCGGCACAGCATACACAGCATGAGCAGGAATAGCAGCACAGCATACACAGCATGAGCAGGAATAGCAGCACAGCATACACAGCATGAGCAGGAATAGCAGCACAGCATACACAGCATGAGCAGGAATAGCAGCACAGCATACACAGCATGAGCAGGAATAGCAGCACAGCATACACAGCATGAGCAGGAATAGCAGCACAGCATACACAGCATGAGCAGGAATAGCAGCACAGCATACACAGCATGAGCAGGAATAGCAGCACAGCATACACAGCATGAGCAGGAATAGCAGCACAGCATACACAGCATGAGCAGGAATAGCAGCACAGCATACACAGCATGAGCAGGAATAGCGGCACAGCATACACAGCATGAGCAGGAATAGCAGCACAGCATACACAGCATGAGCAGGAATAGCAGCACAGCATACACAGCATGAGCAGGAATAGCAGCACAGCATACACAGCATGAGCAGGAATAGCAGCACAGCATACACAGCATGAGCAGGAATAGCAGCACAGCATACACAGCATGAGCAGGAATAGCAGCACAGCATACACAGCATGAGCAGGAATAGCAGCACAGCATACACAGCATGAGCAGGAATAGCAGCACAGCATACACAGCATGAGCAGGAATAGCAGCACAGCATACACAGCATGAGCAGGAATAGCAGCACAGCATACACAGCATGAGCAGGAATAGCAGCACAGCATACACAGCATGAGCAGGAATAGCAGCACAGCATACACAGCATGAGCAGGAATAGCAGCACAGCATACACAGCATGAGCAGGAATAGCAGCACAGCATACACAGCATGAGCAGGAATAGCAGCACAGCATACACAGCATGAGCAGGAATAGCAGCACAGCATACACAGCATGAGCAGGAATAGCAGCACAGCATACACAGCATGAGCAGGAATAGCAGCACAGCATACACAGCATGAGCAGGAATAGCGGCACAGCATACACAGCATGAGCAGGAATAGCAGCACAGCATACACAGCATGAGCAGGAATAGCAGCACAGCATACACAGCATGAGCAGGAATAGCAGCACAGCATACACAGCATGAGCAGGAATAGCAGCACAGCATACACAGCATGAGCAGGAATAGCAGCACAGCATACACAGCATGAGCAGGAATAGCAGCACAGCATACACAGCATGAGCAGGAATAGCAGCACAGCATACACAGCATGAGCAGGAATAGCAGCACAGCATACACAGCATGAGCAGGAATAGCAGCACAGCATACACAGCATGAGCAGGAATAGCAGCACAGCATACACAGCATGAGCAGGAATAGCAGCACAGCATACACAGCATGAGCAGGAATAGCAGCACAGCATACACAGCATGAGCAGGAATAGCAGCACAGCATACACAGCATGAGCAGGAATAGCAGCACAGCATACACAGCATGAGCAGGAATAGCGGCACAGCATACACAGCATGAGCAGGAATAGCGGCACAGCATACACAGCATGAGCAGGAATAGCGGCACAGCATACACAGCATGAGCAGGAATAGCGGCACAGCATACACAGCATGAGCAGGAATAGCAGCACAGCATACACAGCATGAGCAGGAATAGCAGCACAGCATACACAGCATGAGCAGGAATAGCAGCACAGCATACACAGCATGAGCAGGAATAGCAGCACAGCATACACAGCATGAGCAGGAATAGCAGCACAGCATACACAGCATGAGCAGGAATAGCAGCACAGCATACACAGCATGAGCAGGAATAGCAGCACAGCATACACAGCATGAGCAGGAATAGCAGCACAGCATACACAGCATGAGCAGGAATAGCAGCACAGCATACACAGCATGAGCAGGAATAGCAGCACAGCATACACAGCATGAGCAGGAATAGCAGCACAGCATACACAGCATGAGCAGGAATAGCAGCACAGCATACACAGCATGAGCAGGAATAGCAGCACAGCATACACAGCATTCGCAGGAATAGCAGCACAGCATACACAGCATGAGCAGGAATAGCAGCACAGCATACACAGCATGAGCAGGAATAGCGGCACAGCATACACAGCATGAGCAGGAATAGCGGCACAGCATACACAGCATGAGCAGGAATAGCAGCACAGCATACACAGCATGAGCAGGAATAGCAGCACAGCATACACAGCATGAGCAGGAATAGCAGCACAGCATACACAGCATGAGCAGGAATAGCAGCACAGCATACACAGCATGAGCAGGAATAGCAGCACAGCATACACAGCATGAGCAGGAATAGCAGCACAGCATACACAGCATGAGCAGGAATAGCAGCACAGCATACACAGCATGAGCAGGAATAGCAGCACAGCATACACAGCATGAGCAGGAATAGCAGCACAGCATACACAGCATGAGCAGGAATAGCAGCACAGCATACACAGCATGAGCAGGAATAGCAGCACAGCATACACAGCATGAGCAGGAATAGCAGCACAGCATACACAGCATGAGCAGGAATAGCAGCACAGCATACACAGCATGAGCAGGAATAGCAGCACAGCATACACAGTGTGCTGTGCTGTGCGGCACTCCCCTCCCCCCCTTTCCCCGCGTGGGCTGTGCTGCACTGCAGACATGTTGGTGCAGCATCGCTGTCGGGACTTTGGCATGGATGAAACTCAGATTCCAGGCGATGGTGAGACATGAAACGCGGGTGGTGAGAGATGTAACGCTGGAGGGGGAGATGGTACGTGGGTGGTGAGACACGGATCCTTGAGTGGAGGGCGTTGTGGTAGACGAAACGTCCCTCCCTCCCTGCTTCCCTCCCTCCCTGCTTCCCTCCCTCCCTGCTTCCCTCCCTCCCTGCTTCCCTCCCTCCCTGCTTCCCTCCCTCCCTGCTTCCCTCCCTCCCTGCTTCCCTCCCTCCCTGCTTCCCTCCCTCCCTGCTTCCCTCCCTCCCTGCTTCCCTCCCTCTCTGCTTCCCTCCCTCCCTGCTTCCCTCCCTCCCTGCTTCCCTCCCTCCCTGCTTCCCTCCCTCCCTGCTTCCCTCCCTCCCTGCTTCCCTCCCTCCCTGCTTCCCTCCCTCTCTGCTTCCCTCCCTCCCTGCTTCCCTCCCTCCCTGCTTCCCTCCCTCCCTGCTTCCCTCCCTCTCTGCTTCCCTCCCTCCCTGCTTCCCTCCCTCCCTGCTTCCCTCCCTCCCTGCTTCCCTCCCTCCCTGCTTCCCTCCCTCCCTGCTTCCCTCCCTCCCTGCTTCCCTCCCTCCCTGCTTCCCTCCCTCTCTGCTTCCTCCCTCCCTCCCTGCTTCCCTCCCTCCCTGCTTCCCTCCCTCCCTGCTTCCCTCCCTCTCTGCTTCCCTCCCTCCCTGCTTCCCTCCCTCCCTGCTTCCCTCCCTCCCTGCTTCCCTCCCTCCCTGCTTCCCTCCCTCCCTGCTTCCCTCCCTCCCTGCTTCCCTCCCTCCCTGCTTCCCTCCCTCCCTGCTTCCCTCCCTCCCTGCTTCCCTCCCTCCCTGCTTCCCTCCCTCCCTGCTTCCCTCCCTCCCTGCTTCCCTCCCTCTCTGCTTCCCTCCCTCCCTGCTTCCCTCCCTCCCTGCTTCCCTCCCTCCCTGCTTCCCTCCCTCCCTGCTTCCCTCCCTCCCTGCTTCCCTCCCTCCCTGCTTCCCTCCCTCCCTGCTTCCCTCCCTCCCTGCTTCCCTCCCTCCCTGCTTCCCTCCCCCTGCTTCCCTCCCTCCCTGCTTCCC